TTAAAACTGTATGGAAATTGAGAAAAATATAATATGTTTAAGCTTAGAGTTCAAGTTGAAAATATGTATGAGTAACTTCAGGGAAAATGAACGAGAAGTACTTGTGGCACCTTAGAGCCTAACAAATTTATTTGGGCATAAGCTTTCCTGGGCTAAAACCCACTTCATCAGATGCATGCAGTGGAAAATACAGTAGGAAGATAGATATATATACAGAGAACATGAAAAAATGGGGGTTGTCATACCAACTCTAACGAGACTAATCGATTAAGGTGGGCTATTATCAGCAGGAGAAAAAAACTTTTGTAGTGATAATCAGGCTGGCCCATTTCAAACTGTTGACAAAAAAGTGTGAGTAACAGTAGGGGGAAAATTAGCTTGGAAAAATAGTTTTTAGTTTGTGTAATGACTCATCCACTCCCAGTCTTTATTCAAGCCTAATTTAATGGTGTCCAGTTTGCAAATTAATTCCAGCTCTGCAGTTTCTTGTTGGAGTCTGGTTTTGAAGCTTTTTTGTTGAAGAATTGCGACTTTTAGGTGTGTAATTGAATGTCCAGGGAGATTGAAGTGTTCTCCGACTGGTTTTTGAATGTTATAATTCTTGACATCTGATTTGTGTCCATTTATTCTTTTGCACAGAGACTGTCCGGTTTGGCCAATTTACATAGGGTGACCAGATGTGCTGATATTATCGGACAGTCTCAATTTTAAGACATTTGTCCCGTGTCCCAACCACACATCGGTCGGGACGCCCTTTGTCCCTATATCGGGGACTGCTCACCATGAGTCATTGCGCGCACCAAAGTCCCAGGGCTGGCAGCGCTCCCTTGGGCAGCTCCCAATGCCCACCCGCCAGCAGGAGCCTGCAGTGTGGGCGGCACAGAGGCAGAGGGGGTCTCTGTGTGCTGCACTGGCTCCCTCCTGCCCAATCAGAGCTGCGGGGGCAGGGCTCACAGGCACCGGCAGCAGGCAGAGAGCCCTCCCCCCCCGACCCGACCCTAGGAGCCAGAGGGACCTGCCAGATGCTTCCCGGGAGCCGCCCCAGGTAGACACTGCCGGAACTCCCCACCTCACCTGCCAGCAGGTCCCTCTGGCTCTTAGGGTCTCGGGGGGGGAGGGGGCAGGGGGCTCTCTGTGCACTGCTGGTGCCTGAAAGCCCCACTCTGCAGCTCCGGCAGCTCCCATTGACGCTTTTCCCAGCCAATGGAAGCCACGGAGCTCACGCTTGTGGCAGGCACAGCACGTGGGGAGTCTGGAGACCCCCCCTCACTGCTCTGACCCTAGGAGCCAGAGAGCTCCCAGCAGGGCTGGTGAGTGCGGCCAGGGAAGGGGGCAGGGTGTGATGGAGTAAGTGTCTGGGAGATGTGTGTGGGGTGCTGGGCTGCGAGGGTGTGGAGGGCACTGGGCAGTGGGGGAGGTTTGTGTGTTTTGGGGTGCTAGGCAGTGGGGGCCTGTTGGGGGGTGCTGGGCAGTGGGGGAGATCTGTATGTGTCAGGGCACTGAGCAGTGGGGGTCTGTGTGGGGCATAGTTTAGTTGTGGTGATGGGGCTGTGGGGAAGGGCATTGGGAGGGAGGGAGGGAGGAGAAATCTGTGTGTATTGGGAAACTAGTGAGTGGAGGGTTCTGTATGGGGTGCTGGGCAGCTATGGTGGGGCTGTGGGTGGGGGGGCACTGGGGAGGGGTGGTGGTGTGCACCGCACTGTGCATTTGTGGTGGAAATGTGGGTGGGGGGGGCCCTCTGGGCATAGTGGGTTCAGGGGATACAGGGCATAGTGGATCCAGGGGGAGCTGGGCAGGGGAGATGTGTGGCACAGCATGGGACCACCCCCAACAGGATGGGGCATGCTGGTAGCACAGGGCCAGGCAGACCAGTGTACCCCATTGCCCCTGGCCAGCCCCGCCCTTCCCGCTGCTCACCTCCTCAACTGAAGGCGGGAGGAGGGGGTGCAGGGGTGGGTCCCGGCAGTGCTTACCTGGGGCGGCTCCTGGGAAGCAGCCGGCAGGTCCCTGAGGTGAGTGTCGCTGGGCTGAGCCAGCAGTGGGCTCCCCACAGCAAAGTCTGTGCAGACTGGTCCACCTAGCTCATGGCAGAGCCGAGGAAAGGAGGCATCTGCCTCTGCATGTGCTGATTTCCCCCAGGGCAGGCCGGGGCTGCGCACTGCTAAGCTGCTGCCCGGTTCACTTACCCACATTGGCAAGCAGGGATTGCACCTGGCGGCGGACATCTGCACGATGTACAATCGGGACGCCATTTGTCCCGAAATTCAGGTAACATTTTAAATTTGGTAGTCAAATAGAAAATTAGTCGATTGGGAATGTCCCATTAAACCCGATTGTGATCTGTTATCTACTGGCAATTTTGGTTTTTCAGGTTGTTTTCAGGTGTAACGCTGAAGCTGGGGCTAAAGGCAGGATGGTGGGCCTCCTCTCTGTGACTTTAGCTGGGGCTAGAGCCAGGGCTAGATCTGGGATGGTTCGCTCCCCTGCCCTGCAATTGGGTCTGACTTTGCAACCAGGATCCTGCGCCCCTGTCCTGAGACTTCAGCCAGGGGCTGGAGCCCTGTGCCCCTGGCTTCTGCTGGGAGCTGGAGCTGGGGCCATGAGTCCTTGAGTCCTTGCCCCATGGCTTGTGGTGTGGGCTGCAGCAGGGGCCGTACACCCCTCTTGCAGCTTCCTAGGGCTGTGCACCCCCTCTCATGGCTCCAGTCAGGGCTGTGCACCTGTGGCTCTCCCCCTTCCTCTCCCTCCCCGCCCCCCACTTGCCCAAGGTGTCCTGATATTTCACTCTTGCAGTCAGGTCACCCTAAATGTACATGGCATAGGGGCATTGCTGGCACATGATAGCATATATCACATTGGTAGATGTGCAGGTGAACGAGCTCCCGATGGTGTGGCTGATGTGATTAGGTCCTATGATGGTGTCCCTTGAACAGATAATGTGGACAGAGTTGGCAACGGGCTTTGTTGCAAGGATAGGTTCCTGGGTTAGTGTTTTTGTTGTGTGGTGTGTGGTTGCTGGTGAGTATTTGCTTCAGGTTGGGGGACTGTCTGTAAGCAAGGACTGGCCTGTCTCCCAAGATCTGTGAGAGTGAGGGATCATCCTTCAGGATAGGTTGTAGATCCCTGATGATGCACTGGAGAGGTTTTAGTTGGGGGCTGAAGGTGATGGCTAGTGGTGTTCTGTTACTTCCTTTGTTGGGCCTGTCCTGTAGTAGGTGACTTCTGGGTATTCTTCTGGCTCCATCAATCTGTTTCTTCACTTCAGCAGGTAGGTATTGTAGTTTTAAGAATGCTTGATAGAGATTTTGTAGGTGTTTAAGAATGTTGTCCTTTTAACACATCAATTGTATTTCTTACTCTCTATCAAAGTTATGTTTATACTTTTTTTAAAGAATGGAAAATACTGAAATACAGAGTTAGGAGTTGTCAAAGAACTTACATTCTTGTCCATTTTCCCTCCTAATGTCCCTCCTCCCACCATAATAGTCGGGAACTTTATTCATTTTTGTTTAGTTTCCATAGTATGATACTGACTTCTCTCTCTCATTTTAGCATTGAGAAAAATAAAATAGCAAGGAAATAAAGAAAGGGAGGAAAATAAGAATGAGGGTGGTGGACAGAAGCAAATTCTCTGGGTGTTAACAGAATAGTTAGGACCACACCCCAACTATACTCCAACTCTTTATTCAATTTCTTCTTTAATACATAGATTTCAGTTAACTACTTTGATCCAAAGGCCCAGTGAAATCAACAGAAAACTCCCTTTGACAGTTTCGCTCAACCCCATAGTTAAAAATAGCATGAAATTCCACCTACAGTGAAGGTTGAGCTACACATGTCAATATTTTCTCCTTTCTTTTGGCAATGTCATGATTCTTGCACCTGAGGTTTTAGCATTCCTCTCTCTAGTTCATTGGCTAGCATATCTCTGAGAAACAAGGATATTAACAGCCACTTTATAAAGCAAGGGACATTTAAGCATAATCTACAGCTGAAAGAAAATGTTTCTGTTCCTTGTCCATCTGTTCTTGGCAGCATACATTTCACTAGAACTTGTAAAATGGTTCACACAAAAACAAGCCTAGTGGGTTCCAGAGAGGATTTAACTCACTTTGGTTGCCCCTCAAACTAGTCTGATGTATTAATGGTTAGAGACTCTTTTTGTCTTGTAAACTGAAGACTCTGAATTTATATTATACTTGTTCCTTGAGATCAAGGCAACTAGTATTTATTTAACTTTTAACTTTACTTTTTGAATAATACTGTTTTAAATGATATTTTACAGTTTTATTACACAATATTTTGGCACTGAACTACATGAGAAGAAAAATATTTACATTGTAAACAAGTGATCAAAATAGGAAATGCCAGATTAATGCCCATACTTTAATTATATCCCCTTGAGCATTCAACCTGTGCAATGAATGAGGCAAAAGTCCTGTGGAAAAAAATAGTGTATGATCATGGTAAATAAAGTCTGTATCAAAGTGCATAAGCACAAAGAGGCCAAATTAAAGTTGCCTAGACCACTTGAATGGAAGATTATGGGACAAATAAAAGGCACTTTTCTAGCCCAAGGGCTTTCCCTTCTTAAATTTCAAAGACATGCTACAAACAATGGAGGTATAGAGCTTCTCAAAAAAAAGGTTGAAAGAGTCTTTTATGATGTTAAGTAATCTAAATATAGAGGTTGCTACCAGACCTGTGTATGCTTATTATTAGACTTTAGAGACATTTTTGTCATGATGTTTTGGAATGAGATGATAGTGAGTCCAGGTATAGTAATCCTGAAAGTTGACAACTGTTAGTCAGTTTAGAAAATAATGTTGCCATTACTTCTCTGCCAGTAATGTTCCTACTACCTTTTATCTTTTCTTATGCTAGTAGTTCCTATTGCTGTCATTTTTACTAGTCAGTCCTAGCTCTTACACCATTTCAGAATTAATTTCTAGTTGAAGTGTTGATGTCTTCCTAAAGGGAAGTGTGCTGAATTGTTTCAGATCTGAGTGATCAGCTGATGGAAGTGGTTGGTCTGGAGGGAGCCATGGAGATGGGTCAGATATACACAGGATTGAAAAGTGCTGGCAGGCGGCTTGCACAGTGCTCATCTGTTGTCATCAGGTAAACTCTTTATTGTATCTTCTAGTTATAAAATTTTGTATTGCTACATATTGAATAAAAATCAGACATTAAATGCACATGAAAATTTGCTGAATTTGTAGGTATTTACTGAATTCATGTATTTAAGTGTTTTTCTTTCATTAAAATACATGATAGGATGAATAGGAAAATTCTTAACTTCAGTCTTCTCGCCTTATAGTCATCTCTCACCTCATTGTGAGAAGAGGTTTTGTCTAGTGGTGAGAGAAGAGAACTGAGAGTTGATACCCCTGGGTTTTTTTATTCACTGACTCTGAGTGACCTTGGACAAGTCATTTACATTTCTTTGACACATTTCAATCTCTTCATAAGATGGGTATCCTAATATATTCTTCACCCGGGAGTTATAAATTGCCGTTAGTATTTGTAAAGCACTTTAAGATTCTCAGGAGCAAAAAAACCCACACGTTATTGTTATACTGTCTGTTGAGCACTGACAAGTCACCATGAACAAATGCATTGGTATGAGTTAGCCATGAAACAGGAGAACTGGCTAATTTGATTGGGCTGTATTATTTGGACAACATTGTCAAATTCCTAGGAGTGAGTAGAAAAGAATAGCACAAGCATGTAGGGACAAAATCAGAACAGCTAAGGCACAAAATGAATTACAACTAGCCAGGGACATAGAAGACAGTAAGAAGAGGTTCTATAAATACATTAGGAACAAGAGAAAGACAAAGGAAAGTGTAGGCCCTCTCCTTAGTGGGGAAAGTGAGCTAATAATGGATTACATCAAGAAGGCTAAGGGGTTTAATGTCTATCTTGCTTCACTCTTCACAGAAATGGTAAATTGTGACCAGATATTCAACACAATTAATATTAACAAGAAGGGGCAAGGAATGAAGGCCAAAATAAGGAGAGAACAGATTAAAGAATATTTAAATAAGTAAGGTGCATTCAAGTTGGCATGGCCTGACAAAATTCACCCAAGGGTACATAAGGAACTAGATATTAGCAATTATCTGTGAGAACTTATAGAGGACGGGTGAGGTCCCAGAAGACTGTAGAAGGACAAACATAGTACTTATCTTTAAAAGGGGGTACAAAAGGACTCGAGGAACTATAGACTAGTCAACCTAACTTCAATACCTGGAAAGATAAATGTGGCAAATTATTAAACAATCAATTTGTAAGCACCTAGGGGATAATAGAGTCATAAGTAATAGCCACCATAAGCCAACCTAATTTCCTTCTTTGACAGCATTTCTGGCCTATTGGATAGGGGGAAGCTGTAGAGATGGTGTACCTTGATTCTAGTAAGGAATTTGACATAGTCCCACATGGCATTCTTGTAACCAAACTAGGGAAATGCGGTCTAGATGAAATTACTATAAGATGGATGAAAAACTGGTAGAAAGAACAAACTCAAAGAGTAGTTATTAATAGTTTGCTGTCAAACTGGGGGCATGTATTTAGTGGGATCCTGCAGGGTTCTGTCCTGGATCTGGTACTATTCAATATTTTCATTAATGACTTGGATAATGGAGTAGAGAGTCCACTTATAATGTTTGCAGATGACTCCAAGCTGGGAGGGGTTGCTAGCACTGTGGAGGACAGGATTGGAATTCAAAACAACCTTGATAGATTGGAGAATTGATCTGAAATAAACAGGATGAAATTCAATAAAGATGTGCAACAGAAGTTGGTCCAATAAAAGATATTACTTCACCCATCTTGTCACTCTAATGTATAAAGTACTACACTTAGGAAAATCAGATACACAACTACAAAATGGGGACTAACTGACTAGGAAGTAGTACTTCATAAAAAAATCTGGGAGTTATCGTCAGTCACAAATTGAATATTATCAGGCACCTTCTCAGTCTTCTTTTCCCACCTAGATCAGGTTTGGCCCAGGTCAGCTGTGTAGATGATCTGCCTGAAGCTGGAACCTGAGCTCTGGGATCCCATGATTGGGGGTTGCGGGGGCAGCAAGGTGGAGCTGCAAAAGGCGTGTATTATATGTAAGGTTATGGCTACACGACAGTTAAAGGCCACCAGGTGTCCCAGGTCAGCTGACTTGGGCTTGCCAGGCTCGGGCTGCAGGCCTTTAAAATGACAGTGTAGATGTTCAGGCTCAGGCTGGAGCCTGGGACCTTTCTCCTCAACCCCGCTCCACAGGATCCCAGAGCTCAGGCTCCAGCCTGAGGCAAATCATCTACACTGCAATTTTACAATCCTGGGCCACCCGGGGGTGTTTAATTGCTGTGTAGACATACCCTAAGATATGGGTAATTGTCCCACTTTACTTGGCACTGGTGAGCCTCAGCTGGAACACTGAAAGATGTGTTTAAGAAAGAATGTGGACAAATTGGCGAGAGTCCAGAGAACAACCAAAATGATAGAAGGTTAAGAAAACCTGATCTAGGAGGAAAGGTTAAAAGAACTGGGCATGTTTAGTGATGGGAAAAGAAGCCTGAGGAGAGACCTGATAATATTCTTCAAATATGTTAAGGGCAGTTACAAAGAAGATGGTGATCAATTGTTCTCCATGTCTCCTAACATAGGAAAATAAGTAATTGTCTTAATCTTCCACGCAGCAGGTTTAAATTAGGTATTAGGAAATACTTTCTAACTATAAGCTCTAGAATTGGCTTCTGAGGGAGGTTATGGAGTGCCCATCATTGAGGGTTTTTACGAACAGGTTAGACAAACACTTGTCAGGAATGGTATAGGTTTACCTGGTCCTGCCTTTGTACAAGGTGCTGGGCTGGATGACCTCTCGAGGTCCCTTCCAGCCCTACATTTTTATGATTCTATGACTTACTGAGCTAAAAGTGAACACAGTTTTCATTGGTATGACAAAGTGCTGAATAGAACCAGAAAAATCTCTATATTTCCAAAAAAGTTTTTTTAAATATTTGACAATTTTACAAAATTGTACAGTTTTTCGCCAGTGAAGCTTGCCTCATCCCACCTCACCTCATGTGCGAGAGAAAACCATTAAGAAACATTAAGAAAATAAGGTGGGATTTTCCAAGGTGCCTTAGGTGATTTTGAAAATCCGACCCATGGTGTTTAATTCAGGATGGCTCCCGATTTGGGGTAGCAAGCATCCAATCTCAGTTGATGCAGAGAAGAAATGCTTGCCATCTCCCCTCCCTCTTTTGGAGTGCCATGTGCCTGGGTGCACACCAAAGAAACAATACCTATGCTCTCCTACAAGTCGGGACTCCAAATGTGACACTTTTACTCAGCTTTTGGGTGAGGCCACTTGCATGGTCTCCGTTTCTGTTTCTACATGTTGCACCCTGGCCATAAATTACAGCAGTTACTCCCTTGAAAGCGTAGGTATTTCTGAAGGTGAAAGCCTACCTTCTGCTGAGGGTATTGCACTTGCCTTCCATTTCCCTTGACTTAAATGGGTGCAGAATTGGATGTGCCCAAGGTTATTATCTTGATTCCTGCCTTTACATTCCTGTAGGCTTATGTAATTATCTGATGTGCATCACTTCCAGTAGTGCTGGGTCTATAAAACTGTTATTCTGCAAATCATATTAGAGCACTAAACATTCTAATTGTTTTATCCTTAAAGGCAAAGCCTCTGAACACAGTCCTCCTTGGAACTGACTTTACTGCTATATGAGTATGAGCAGGGTACCAGAATAGATGCAAACAACAGAATATCCTCCCACTGCTAATAAAAAATACTAGTATGGCTGAAAGAGTTTTCTTATTTGGTTCATAAACAGTAGTTTGAAAATTGTTATGGGTAGCATGGACTTCTCTTTATTATTTGTATTGTGGTAACATCGAGGCACCCCTGTCCCATTGTGCTCCGCACTGTGCAGACATGTAACAAAAAGGTACTCTTTGCCCCAAAGAGCTTCACTGTGTTCTTATTTAATAAAGTAGGTTCATACCCTAAGTTCATGCAGAAGTCAAGTTCCACTCTCTGCACTCTGCTCTGTCATGAAGGAATAGCTGCATATCTTTAGCACATTGTGCCTGTTTGTTATACTTTTGTTTTGCATATTAAAAGTACACTTGGGACTGTTCCTGAATGACAGTATATATGTTTGCACATAACATTACAGAAGAGTACTTAAAATAAGGGCATTACTTTTTTTAGGGGCATTGGGTCATATACCTGATCTATGGTGGAATAACAGTGGAAGTTGCATGCACACTTCTAGGCAATAAATGTCCTGATGATTGCACACATCTGTTCTGTCCTCATAGATCTCTGTTCAAAATAGAAGTTTGATGAATTTTGTCCAGCCACTCTTATTCATATAATTAAATATTTTACTTTAGAACCAGCAAGTCGCTGCCCATGCAGATTGATGGAGAACCATGGATGCAGACTCCTTGTACAGTAAGTATGCTTTTATCAACATATCCAATAGAACTGGAAAAGAAATTTGAGGGGGAAATATTTTTTCTATGATAAAAATGGCAATCAGTTTTAATGATCAAACTTTCATTTCGGATCTCCTTAAATGTTAGAAACTGCTCCTTTTCAATTAGAGACAACTGTAGCTATCAACATTGACTTAGCTTATGCTCCATAATTTCTGTACACCCACACAGATACACAGCACACCCACTCTCTCACGCGAACATAAAGAAACAAAACCTGTAATTTAATCATGCTATTTCTTCTACAGGTTGAGATGGAAGAAAAAGAAAGAGATTGTTATTACATTTCTTATTCTGAATACTTGGGAGACTCTCAGATACTATAGTGATGGGAGGGCCATATAAATAGATGGATGTGTGAGCACAGAACAGTGGGAAATCTCATGAGATTTGTCACAAAATCTTTTGGAGTGAAGAGGTTGTGCATAACCTCTTGCAGCCATAAATCTGTGGTTATAGAGCAACAGGACCTGTGATTTCCCAGTCACTGGACTTGCAGAACCCATGGAAGGATGTTGGCCATACCGTTTTTTACAATCACCCCAATGTCTGATCCATGGAGCATCTGACCCATGGTTACAGCCAAGAACACCACACACCGTAGTCCGTTTTGTTGCCTAGTCAAACTACCCTTTAAAAGTGGTCATAAAATGCATGTGTTCAAAATAAACTACTCTGTCCTCTATAACAAACCCACTATGGAACGTGTTTATTTCCCTTTTGTGGGCAGACTAATCCACAGACTTTAAGCTTCATAAAGGCAAGTATCTGCAGAATCTCTATACATTTAGTCACAGAAGAATGATTCTATTTGATTTTATTTTTTACATTTATATTACAAGAAATATTTTCCCTTTTTCTTCTGCTGAAAGAGTGCTGTTGCTCCCTGCATTTTCATAATTTTTGCCTGAACTGCTCTCTGTGTCTCCATGCACAGAAAATACTTGTGCACCAAAAACAAAATTTACAAATCTTCTTAGACTTTCTCCTTGTCCTGGTTCTAAGTGGTCAAATATTTATCCAAGGCTAACATTCGAGGAAGGAGTTTTAGATATCTTTGTTTGATTTTGAGATCATATTTCCAAAGCTCTGCTTCAGAAAGATTTTTTTTTTTTTTTTGGAAATCAGAGAGCATTTGTTCATGGACTATGTAGCTTTCTCTATTCAAGCACGTGCACGAAAAAAAGTGTTACTGACTGTAACTGTGTGAACAAACTGTTTGAGCCCCAGGATTGTAAACTTCAGAAAAAAATATCAGGAGACTAGTATAGAAATCATGAGTTTTTGCCTATACTACAGACTTCAATAAAGTTTGCCTTGAAGTTGTCCCTCTGACTTAACCAAAAGTAAATTATCATTTCTTTTAAGATGAAGAGGAGTTCAACACACACACACACAGAGTGAGTCCCATCCCTCCAGCGTTGACATCAGGCACATGGCTGCGTCTTTAGGCACTTAAATACTTTTAACTTTTGATCCTAAGTGCCGAAGTCACTTTTGAAATCTGACTTAGCCATCTGAGTTACTTATGCCCAGATTTTTAAAGGTATTTAGGAGCCTTTGGAGTTAGGCACCTAAATATCTTAAAATTTTGGCCAATGGCTTTTTGGTGAAATCTGACCCCACTGAAGTCAATGAAAGTTTTGCCATTGATTTAAATAGTGCCAGGATTTCACCCTATAGCTCTAATAACATAGAGAATATGAAAGCTAAAAATTATTATTTGTATTGTGATAGCACCTAGAGTTCCCAATAAGTATGGAAGCCCCATTGTGCTAGGCACTGTACGCATACATAAAAAAAGACAGTTCCTGCCCTAAATATCTTATAATCTCAGGCCTCAATTCTGCATTATGCTGCACATAGCCAGGCTGCTATGCTTATCTGGAGATCCACTGCAGGCCGCCCAAGAAGCACAAGTTGCATGATCGAGGCCTACATTTTATTGCTTTCATCATCTTTTCATATAGAACTCTTTTTGTGAAGAAAAAATTATAACGTGAGTGGTTACATTAAACATCTTTGATAATTAGCTGAAGAGGAAATTCTATCACAGCTCACCCAGCCAAAATATAGTGACATAAAATATATTTATGGTCTCACTTGATCTCCAAACAGGTCATTAATAGTAAAGAATCTTCAAAGGCTCTCGAGTTAATTTGATAAACTTCTGTCTTCAGGCACCAGTATTTCTTTAAGAAAAATAATATTTCCATTTACCTACAACTGCCTTTAGCATTGTTTTGAAAAATCTCAAAGAATATCTGTCTTAATTACAAAAAACTGCAATTTCACTTCTTTCGTCTGTTCTTGATTTGGTAAGTACCAAGTGTGAATCTCAAGCAGCCAGTATCACTAGATTAAAAATGGAAAAAAGAGACATTTATGGCAGATGCAAGAATATTTCCTCTGTGAAGAAATGGAAATGCTAGTCCACTGGCAGGGCCATTTTATGGAATGCAAGAAATTAAAAATATCATTGGTATTTGTCACAAAACATGTGACATACTTTCTGTCTATTGGTGTTGATAAGGTTTATTTAACAACAGGACATTTATTACAATGGCATGATTTTTTTTTCCTATTAGAAAAACTCATAATACATGGCACCAGAAAATTATACAGGTGCTTTTATCATCCCTGGAAAAGAGGTTTGAATATTTATGTTTGAATGAATTTATGTATGAATTTTTTCCCTGGCCTTTCTCATACTCTTTAAGAGTGTAATTGAACCATTGTGCAGAGAGCCAGCACAAGGTCTACCTCATTACTTAACCCCCACCTAGGGGCAGGGAGACTGAGGGCTGAACAGCTTGGGCCTCTTACTCTTTGTGGAAAGAGTCTATGCGTAGCTAAGAGAGGGGCCACAGACCAGCTTTTACATAGATCCACTGGCCTCAACACCCCAGGCAGCGGGCACAGAGGAGCTCTAGTTGCAACTCCATCCCATAGATCTCTCAAGCCATTCGGGCCTAATCTCACTGAATGCAATGGGACTTTTGTCCTTGATTTCCGCGGCAGCAGGATTGTGTCCTGGCTCTATATAGCAGTTGATGATAGGGGAAACTGTCCAGCAGTAGTTCAATAGTTAACATAGAAACTGATGCCAGCCTGTAAAAAGTTTCTCTTGTTATAATGACAACTTGCATGAATTTCTGTTTCTAGCCCTGAGGTTTGGGGAGATTGGTTTTTGTTTGTTTGTTTTGTGCTGCTGTTGTGTTTTTGGTTCAGGGGCAGTTGGGTGTTCTTTTTTCCGTTCACTGCTACACTGCACATTAGTGTTGTTTACCTATGCATAATTTTTCTTAATTTCACAATAGTCGTTTTTGTAATTGACAATGCAATTTCCTGCATGTGTGCTTTCTGCACCTCAGACAAGTATGTACCATAATGCACCTATCTTTCCAGTTCAAACTGTTAAGAAAAAATTAGTTGTGACTAATTGCCAATTAATTTGCAGTAACTTGTGGGAGGGGGAACAATTGCACCTACTAATTAAAATTTAAAATATTCCAACGTGTCATCTTTAGGTGTCTGTGGAATACATAATTTCCATTTTAGTTCTGCGCTGGATCTGTAACAACCCTGAGCTTGACAGCTCTATTAATTTAAAAGCTCAGTGATACCTATTAGTACAAAACATGAAAAAAATGCTATTAATCATTTATTTTAATTTTGCAGCTCTGTCATTTTCACAGTATGTTTAAGAATTATGGTGACACCATAATGTTTTCCAATCTACCTGTGTGAAGGGGAAACAGATCACACTACTTAAGAGAGATACTAGAGTTTATTATTAGAGCTTAATTAATGCCAGACTGATTAGATGTGATTGCATTTTGCACAATAATATTGTTAAGAAATTGTTTAAAAGGACTGCCACATACAGCTCTATTTAAAACCATTGGGCTGGATCAGAGAGGTTTGGCCCAAATGTACACAGCCCAAGCCAGGAGAGAGGACACAAAGAGAGCTTAAAACTCACCTTTGCACTTCTCTTATCCTATGGCTTCTCTATGCAGGGTAGTCCTCTGCACTGTGTTATACATGGGAGGCGTGTGAACTGCCTCTTGTGGGAGGCTAGCCCCCAAGCCCTGCCCCTAGAGCCCAGAACCGCCCACCCCAGACTGCCCCAGCTCCGGAGCACCAGATGGGTGGGCAGCACGGCCCCAGTCCCCGCAGCACTGGGTGGGTGGGTGGTGCCCCCCTGGGCCATGGCACAGGTGAAGACTAAGCTGCAAAATGGGAAGCAACGTGGGGCAGAGCGTGGGTGGGGCCACACTTGGCTGTTTGGGGAGGCTCAGCCTTCCCCAGCCTATCATACCCACCACCCATGGTGTTAGAGCACCCTTAAGGGCTGTTCTTTCTGGCACATCTGCATCTGGCCTCAGTCATTTTGGGGGATAGTTATGATGTAGTGTTGCCCCAGTCACTCCTGCCCCAGCAGCAGGGAGAGGAGTGGCATACAAACCTCTAGACTGTGGGATAATCCTGTGAATCTCCCTGTTGATAGTGTGAAGCCAAGTGGCCACCTGTTGCCCATGTATATGGCTCAGTATGTTCATATTTGAATTTAACTTTGTATCCTCTGAGGTGTAGAGTTGACTGTTAATCCAAATATTTTAACATAAACTGGGAGTATCATTTATAGTTTCTTATTAGTTAGCATCTTGATTAGCTCCTGTATTTATAACACCATATTCTGTTTTCATTGGAAGGGCAACGATGACCTCTTATTTAAGCGTACTATGATGTTAGGAACACACATATAACTAGCACACATTGTAGAGTCCAATAACATAAAAGGAAAACTATTTGATCTAAGAAACATAGTTAATACATTAAACTTATTACTCCCTAGTGCATTTCATTTACTGCATGCATTGTGTTACTGTGGCTTCAAGGCACTTTTTGAAGCTCTGACGTGCTCCTGACAAAATAAATGTCCATTTTATGCATTTATAAACATTTTTAATATGACAGACTCAGACTTCTCATGTATTAGCAAACATTACTATCTTCTGATGATACAGACTAACATGGCTATCACTCTGAAACCTATCTTCAAATAAGGAGCAATTACTATCTCTAATTTTAAGAGTTATGCTCTTCTTTAAATTGGGTATGGTTTTCCTTTTAGCAAGTATATCATTAGCTGCACTTCTTAGGGCTGCAAAAATTATTTTAAAATTTCTAATGCTACATTTTCCCTGGAGCCATTTATTGATGTCTCAGCCCTGTAAAACTTCTGCATTAGGACTACAAACTTACAGGGTGAAATCCTGGTTCCATTGAATTGAGTGGGAGTTTTGCCAATGATTTCAGTGGAGTCAGAATTTTACCCATAGTGTTATATACTGACCTTTCATCAAATGCATCATAAACTACTGGGAATACTTTTGGCTGCTTGCAGTTTCTGTTTGGGTGGAGCTTTGTTTTCTGTTGTTTTTTGTTTTTCTTAAAATATAACGTTTTCTAAGCAGAAACATTTTCTCATGTTTTTCCTATAGCTGCAACTTAACTTTGCATCTTTTAAAAATATTTTTCTTTAATTTTCTGATAATCATTCCATGTACATTGCTTTTTCAAAATAATCACAAAAACATTCAAATTGACCCAATGGTCATATTAAATTCTCCCAACCCAACATAACTAAATGGTTTCTCCACTCAGTGCTTTCAGTTCATGTTGAACCCAGGGTCTCCAGGAAAGCATGAGAAAATAGCATTTGCAGCATTCCGTGAAAGTCAAGAGGATTTGGGTCTCAGATGCAGTGTGTGTTCCTAAAAGGGGCCATCCCACCGCCCCCATTATTAAACATAACACCTACATATGATGTATGAGTGACAGCAACCCATGAGATAAATTCACAGGGCCAGGTCATCAGCTAGTATCAATGGAGCTATGCTGATCTGGTCCCCAAATTGGTGCCTGAAGCTAGGTTGACTGTGAGGAAAGAGAATCATACAACTAAATTTCATGCTAATGAACAATAACATACTAAAGTTACATATCAGGTCGCAGTGCAACGAACTTGTGAAGAGTAAGCTAAAATTTCCATAGAGTTAAATAAACCCCCTCAACCTGTTGAGATTTTTATGTTTCTGTCTCCTTAGATTGTAAAGTAAATTTCCACCCCCAAGAAAAGGATTGTTCTAGATTTTAATGAGCCTCTCCACGTGATGTACATTTTTGTTTCATTACTATTAGTGAATGACAAGTGAAGAATATTCATTTTACCTTGAAAATGTCAGGTATGCACTTTAAGAGAGAGGTTTTTTTTGCAGTTTTTAATGAGGCGGTGTTTCTTTTGAAAGAAATACCCATTTCTGATGTGGATACTATGCAGGTGACAACTGATATTTAATAAGTGATGGTTCTTGTATTAGTTGTAGTTCACTAAAGAAAATGTCTCAGATTGCTTTTGAAAAACCCTTAGTGTCACTAGCCCAAAGGCAAGATGTGACCTTTTTATTACATAATGAGAATCATTTATTATCTTACAATGTATCTTAAAGTCACAGACAAAATGCCACTTTGATAATTGCTTTCAATTAGCTTTGAGCATAGCATACATTCATAAAATGTCTTCTCTAATTTAGACTTGAATTAGAGAAAATTGCAGACATAATATACTTTAAGGTTGTCTCATTTAAGGTGATTCGTAGTTTTATATCAAAGAAATCAAAATGAGTGGCTTTAGAGCAGTCTTTCAAAGTGTTTTAAACAGGCTTTTCAATATTTGATTCTATTCTATTACCAATTAATTAACAAATTAGAATGCTAGTTCATCATTTTTGACCTTTTTTTCTATGTTAACTTTTGACTTTTATTCCTAATGGTTATTTTGAAATTAAGTATCATGGCTCGTGTTAAAAGAGAAGAACAATCTGATTAGGGAAATAAATAAGGCATGTTATGATACAGTGTATATCTTAATAATGGGAAACCAGCTTGGTTTCTCCCCAACATACAGTGTGTCCTTTCCTGCTTTTGAATTCCTTTTTACTACGTGGATACACAAAATATTCAAGTGACAAGCAGTGATAAAAGGGCAGGTTATAAATCTCATGCTCCTGTAGTAAGAGAGCATATTGCAATGTTCTTATTATATATGATTAATAATATGGATTTCCTGTATGATTACAATGTGTGTGTTGTAACTATGACTATAAATGAATTTGTTTATGATATAAGCAAATGTCAGTTGTAACAAAATTTATTTCAATAGCTACTTTTCAATCCTTGGTCATCTGAAGTTTCAGAAGTTACATTTTAAGATTTTAAATGGTTCAGTCACTTTGTATATTTGTAAAAATATGATAAAGAAGTTGAGTTAGCTAAAGGGATAACTGTTTGTTTTTTTCTTTCCCTCCCCTCAGATAAAAATTACCCACAAGAATCAAGCCCCAATATTGGTGGGACCTCCTCCAAAAACCGGTCTATTCTCCTCCATTATCAGAAGAACAAGGAACCACAGCAAGGAATAAGCCTCTGTAGTTTAGTTCTGAGAAAACAAATTAGCAGCACTGGGCTTTGGAATATTTATGCCAGAAATCTTTCAAAAGTTTTAGAATATCCTCGACTCACAAAATTCTGGAATTTGGCATAACAGTTTCTGTGACTGAGCAAATGTAAAATTATGCTATTAGAAAAATTTATTGTCACTTTTTAAGGCAATTTTGCATGAGGAAAGCAGATGTTTATATACAGTGATATGGCATATTTTTGTTGCATGCATTACCATTTACTAATTTATGGTATAATTCTGCCATGGAACATGAGGAGGGAATGCTCTTGGTAATTTGATTTATTTCGTAAGATTTTATTTGTAGTTAATTCTAATGCAGTGATCATAATCCAGAGATTCTGTAGTTGCCCCTGGAACCCAAGCATCTTCAGATCAGCAATTGATTTGACCTGTATCACATAAGAGCTTGGAAGTTCACAGGTCCCATTAACTTGGCCTTTTACATTTAACATTTCTTTCCACTCTTGTGAATATTTTTCTTCAGCAATTTAACCCCACTGGGGAGTATTAAAATACTTTTTCTTTGCTAAAATACCTTTCATCTTTCAAACACTGAGGCATGACACAAAAAGTCCCACTGGATCACTGGTACTACTCACATGTAGATAACTTCTCACATGTGTAAGTTTTTGCAAGATGGGAAGTCAATGCAGGATTGCCTGAGTGAGGACTACAGGGCTAAAGGTTAAAGGACAGTGAATAAAGGTAATGGTACTTGCAAAACTAGTCAGCAGTGTTGTTTGTTGAAACATTAAAACATTTTACTCAACGGTAAATCTTTGTAATATACCAAACTTTAAATCATCTTGCATATTGGCCAAGAGTGCAGTATGTATGCACACAAATAACCAAACCACATGTCTTATAAACTGCATTTCCCACCAAAGATCTAGTGAAGGACGCTTCAGAGAAATGGTTTAATGCATAATTAATCATGAAGACTGTAGCAGACTTATTTCTGAAAATTTACGGTTCTTTGATTACCTTGGCAATGTCCAAACTAATGCTGGAATAGGAAAAACAATCTATTAATTACAGTTTTCATGCTCACCTTTCATTTGTTTCATACGTTAATAGACTGACACACAAACTTGTTGCTTCACAATTAAAACCATTTCTAATTTTGTTGTTGTTTATAAATTTGCAACATCCCTCATTTTCTCATGCTTTAAATTAGTCTCCTTCAGGAAAGGACATGCTCTTATCAGTTCCCTTTCTATTCATTGTTACCTGAAATCAAAACAATTCCTATTATAATAATTTGGGAGGCAATTTTTTAGGTCTTCATTTTCTCAGTCCTCTGAGAGACTTCTTAACGGCTTGGAAATCACAGCACAGGTTTTATTGTCTACGGCTCGCATGGTACTGTCAGACTGTCTAATGGTTAGGTCCAAGAATGGCAACCTTTTTCAGTGTTGCAATAAATTTACAATATGGGTCTACAGTAAAATGCTTTTTTATGCAGTCTTGACATTGTTCATTGTACAAAATAATCTGCACCTCTTCGCTGCATGTTTTATGTTCTCAAACATTCCATCGGGGGGGGGGAACTGCTTGAAATGCATGATTTATTAGTTTCCTCCCACCTTTATCGATACATTAAAGTGCCAATGAGTTATCCAATCTATTTTTTAATTGATTCATTCATCTTTAAAAAGTAAATAGCATTTAATCATTCTGTTGTGCACGGTACTGTGCATGGATTTAAGTAAAGCTGCTACCGTTCTGTTCCTTAGTATGAGTATTCAGCATCTCTTTTGTATATAATAGATCCTGAACAAAAAGGCAGCATAGTGCTGGTGAGGATTATGTATATGAAATATGCTCTCAATGTTCTAGGCAAAGACCAACATTAAGTTCAGCATCAGGTAGAAAAATGAGATGACAATTATTCCTTAAAATTAAGACATAATTCACCATTGCTGGGTCCAACGATATTAACAGTTACAGCAGGATTTGAATGTCCCTTGTTCTTGTATATTACATGCACTTTCTCACGCACACAAAAAATTCTGATGCATTAGTGACTGCAGATTTCCGTAATTACAAGGTAAGAAGTATTTGCATAAAGAAAGACCTTGCTGGCATAATGCGCACACTGGCTTTCTGAAATTATGGTTACAGGTAATAAATATTTGCTCATGACTTGACATAGAATTTTCTACTGTTGCTATTCAACCTTTTACGTCAAAACATGTTGAATGATACCATTATATAATGTGCCCCCGATGATTATCTCTTGAACACTGTCTCTCTGAAAAACAAATAAAATGGTGCATAGGCTATTCTTTAACAATGGATGCCATTATTAATGTGCCTGATGACTAGGTAACTGTCAGCTATACGGTTTTCCATATATAGAGGGATGGATGGGCTCATATATACACTCCCCACACATACCTCCGTCAGAACAGCTGATATCTCTCATGGTATCTGTGCTCAAGAGGCTAACTCATGACTGACATTCTCATTGATGAAATAAATATAACAAAACAGTCTCTTCACTGTACATGGATACTTACACTATCAGTTTGTTTTTTTTAATCATAGGGATAGTTTTTGTATTAATGTATTATGTATTAATCATAGGGATAGTTTTGGGATTTTTAATGTAGCCTATTGGTAATTTAATACTGTGTTGTGATTTCTGGGCATTGAAAGAATATGATAGTCTGAAGGCAAGGATAAAAGCTTGCAGCAATTGAAAGATGACCTGAAGTGAAGGCAATGTATTTGATGAAAAAATAATGGACAACACTTTTTGTCAAACTGTGACATTCCCCTCTGGTGTTATCTAGACGGGTGATCTGCTAGGCCACTCCAATCCTTGACTCTCTGAGCCGGCCTTACCCTGCTCTGCTGTGAGAACACCCACTCCTGGGCTGTTCACACACAGCCTCTGACGTGTAAGCTGCTCCCAGCTACTTGCAAGCGAATGATACTAGGCAATATCTCCGGTCCCAGACACAACCCTAGGAACCTCTGACTTGCAGTGTCCAGTTATGCCTGCTGGATGCTGCAAGCTTATATGATTTGGTCAATTTAACAAAGAAATTGATATGTACCAGGCTTGTTATCCCAAGGGGAGTCTCTGACACTCTTCAAACCAAACTCACTGCTTCAGGTAGAATAAACAAACAGGTTTATTAATAATAAACCTTATTAACTCTGTCTTATTAACTCTGAAGACAGATTTTAAGTGATTATAAGTCAAAGCACAAGAAGTCAGATTTGGTCAAATTAAATAAAAGCAAAACACATTCTAAGCTGATCTTAACACTTTCAACGTCCTTACGAACTTAGATGCTTCTCACCACAGGCTGGCTGCTCTTCAGCCAGGCTCTCCCTTTTGATCAGCACTTCAGTCGCTTGGTGGTGGTGGTGTCTGTAGGTGTAGGTTTAAGAGAGAGGAAGAGCATGGCAAATGTCTCTTCCTTTTATCGTGTCCTTTCTCCCCTCTTGGATTTGTCCCATGCCCCCTTCAGAGTCAAGTGAACATTACTGAGTCTCTCCAAGCAAAGTCGAGCAATGTCCTTGGTGTGGCCTCATGCAGGTGAGTCATTGTATTGTAGCTCCCTTGCTGGACAATAGTTGATGGGTTGATTGACACCCCACCCGGGCATTGGTTACTTTCGTCGCTGTTGCCTCTGCAGAGTTAATATCTGGCTGATTTCCCCAACTTACAGCATGTTTTAGTGACGACCATACTACACAATTCTCATAACTTCATATGCATTAATGATATACATATGATCTGCTGAAAGTAATTTCTCTATCCATATAACATTTCCCCTGATACCTTACAAGGCATGCTTTATATGTAAGATCATGATTATATGAAAATGAGGAATATGGGGGTTACAGCACGCTCCCCCAAGGTATAGAATGTCACACAAACCTTCAGTATCTTCTTTGTTGTCCCCAATGAAATAAAATAATGGTGTGTGCTATAGCGATTGGAGCAAAGAATAAATGGGGCTATCTTCAAATAGTGAACACACACACAGAGACTCCAGAGATAATTTTGCATGCATTGAAATCAATGACAAAATTCACATGGACTTCAGTGGGCACAGAGTAGGAATCAATCTATGATGGTTTTTGCAAACTAACTTGATATGCAATACATGAAGTGAGACTGTCTGAATATTCGCACTGGATTTGCAAATTTGGCATTGACTTGCTAGAACGTTGCAGCTGCTCAAAGCAATGTTCAGTCAAAAACATCTCTTCTCCCTTTTCTTGACATCTTTTATTCACTCACTGCTTCCTTTACTCACCTCTTTTCTTCCCTGGATTTCATTGGTAGAAGCACTGCAGGGTAATGTATACAGGAAACATTTCATTATAATACTCTAGGGAGAAATCTAGTTTAGAGTTTGACTGATTGAGTCCACCTGTGTCCAAGAAAGTGAAAAGCAAGAGGGTAACCAGTCTGAGCACTGAGATTAACAATAGGCCACCTATACTTATAGAATTAATCCAATGTTTAACTTGTTCTATATTTTACAAATCCATTCATAAAACTACATGATTATTACTCATATTTTATGGTTACTCTGTATCCCTGTGTTTGGTAGACACTTGGGTGTTACACCTAGGGCTGTGATATGCTAGAAAGTACTGAAATTTCCTTGACTGTTAGGTTCTGAAACAGGAGCAGACACTAAATCTACCACCCTTCTCAGATTTGTGCCATAGTGTATTTCAGAAAGATAGACATCAACGATGAGTGCCCATTTTTCAAAGCCGGAATACAGACAGGCCCACAGCATGAGTTAAGGATGTTGAAGGATATACTGGTGTAAAAAAAGGTGTTTAAAATCAGAAAATGTCTAGTTTTGATACTGATTGAACCACATAAATATTATAGAGCCACTTTAAAGCAAATTGAGTGAGGAAAAATATTTTTGATCCAGAGATTGGGGCTTGTGGGCTAAGCCTATAGATTGATAACCTTTTTATGAGCAATTTCACAGAATGAGATGGTGCTTTAAGAGAGTTTCAGTGCCGTCTCTAATCTGTGACTTGCTTTCTCCCAAGCCAAGGGAATTCTGGGACTTGTAGTCCCCAGAGCAAGCATGTGATTGCAGGCTAACAAGGTTTGCTGGGAAAGGATCAGGTCCATACAAAGAGCTTCCTCGTGCTCTCTTGGAAAGTCACTAAGGGAAATATAGCAGTGGAGGGGAGAGGAGCGAGCTGAGCTTGCTGGTGACCAGGATCGGTACAAGATCAACAGTGGTTACCTGCAGAGAGAGAACCAGGGTAGGAGGCCAGGAGGACTGTGCTAAGGGGCTCTAAAAGTAAGCCTGGAAGGGCTGTGCTGAAGAAACGTAGGGGAAAGGCTAGAAAAGATGGGCACTGCAGAAAGAATACTGAGAAACAGTGAAGTTGGTTGGGTTTTGGTTGAGAACGCTCATCTCCTTTGTAGTTAAGAGCACAGGCCTAGGCCCAGTGGTGCCAGCTCAGGATGGTGTAGAGACCCTTGTCCTTGGAAATGCCTGCTGCTTAGGGGTAAAAGTGCATAGGAGGTTTAGCCCAGACAGAGTGAAGAACCACCAGCAAGGGGAAAAGGGACTCTGGTAACCCCTGCAAGCAAAGGGAAGGGCTTTCATAAAGACTGGGAGATTGGCTGGGGAAGGTGGAAAATCTGTGGGGTTTTGCTTACTTCTGGACACTTTGTGATGCTGAAAGAGGAGGACTCCTGCCTTGGCTGGAAGGCCAAAAGCATTGAATCAGCAGCAGAGGCAAAAAAAACCTGATGCACTGGTGGGATACCTGAGGCACAGCCACACATGCGGATGGGGAGAGGTAAGCAACATAGCTCTTTCTCTACAGGAAACTAATGCTGGTCTTGTCTGGACTGTGGTCATTTGGCAGTAGCTTGCAAGGTAACCGCTCCTTTCCCCGATGTTTTTTTCTGAGGAGAAGTTAGCGCTTCTTGTAGCCCTGCCCCCTTTCCCAGAAGGCTTTGCTATAGCCTGCAATCACATGTTTGCTCCAGAGGGTAAAAGCCCTACAATTTTCGTGACAAGGAGGAAGCAAGGCATAGGTCAAAGCTGGGGCTTGAACCCTTATTAAAGAGACAGTTTGCCCTATGACAGTCAAGTGATAAACCTCTGCAAATGGGATTTGTAAAGAAAATATGGGCAGGCCCCCCTTGCTAAGGCAGAGCTCGTGGTGCCTCTCAGGCAATCTTCACTACACAGCTTTTAGCAACATGGCTGTCTCGCTACAGCCGTGCCACTAAAAGTCACGCAGTGTAGCCGCTGTTTGTCGGCTCTCCTTCCACCCCCAATGAGTGGCATTAGCGTTGCTGGCAGGAGAGCGCTCCTGCCAACAAAGCACTGTTCACACTGGCACTTGTCACCGGCAAAAAAAAAAACAAAAAACCCCCCTGAAAGACAAAAGTTTTGTCATTCAATTGCCAGTGTAGACAATGGCTTCAGTTAAATAAAACCCTGTGTTCACTGGAACATGCAAAGACACAGCTCCACACTGAGGGCAATTTTCATGCTGAATTTCCACCTTCTACCCGTAGTCACTACAGCAGTACAGCTACTCAAAAAGAGTTGCTGATCATCTATTTTATAACAGGGAATGTGTATTTCTCATATTGTCATATTCAAACACTGGACATGGTTTTGCTTAAACCTTAAGAAGTAGTTTCCTTTCAGGCAGAAAACTTGGAAAATTGGAGACCAGTTTCAGAAAGTTCTGAAGAATGGAAAACGAGCTTATGGCTCATAAACATGTACACTAAAGATATATAAAGCTGCGTACCAGGAGTTTAGTATTGAACAATGCATGTGTTGTGTGGTAGTAATTGCAAGCAAGTAACAGAAACAGGGTGCTCAGACCCTCTCCTTTCAACAAGAACAACAGTTGAGGCAGAGAAACTTCTACATAATCATTCATTTCCCTTTTGTCAAATTGCCCTGCAGCCTGAAGCTATAGATAGGGGACAATAGCCTCTTCTCTTTAGATATCTAGAATCTCTTGTCATGGTGGCATTTCAGAAGTTGAGTTCTCTCTTTGATTCATGATTCAAAGAGATTACCTGAGAAGCACCACGGGGAGCTTTTCAGGAATGACTCAGACAAAGATTAAGTAATGCTCTTTTTTGTTATTTGTTTTTGTTATTTATAGAAAAACTGCACCCATGTTGATAGAGCAGCACAATTCAATTTCAAATAAACCTGGGACATTATTCACCAGGACTGGATGGTTCCGGAAGTGGAAATAAGATTTAGAGTCTTTCACCTCTAGGTCACCAGTTTGAATC